CTTCTTCTTCTTCTTCCTCCTCCTCCTCCTCCTCCTCCTCCTCCTCCTCCTTCTTCCTCTTCTCCTTCTTCCTTCTCTTCTTCTTCTTCTTCTTCTTCTTCTTCTTCTTCTTCTTCTTCTTCTTCTTCTTCTTCTTCTTCTTCTTCTTCTTCTTCTTCTTCTTCTTCTTCTTCTTCTTCTTCTTCTTCTTCTTCAGCAGGTCATTTCTGCCTGGTGCCTGCCAGGCATCCATTGCCCAATGGCGTTGCTTCCAATGCCCAAAGGGAGTGCCACCCTTGTCTCTGTATGAGTCCGTGTTCAGGCTTTGTTTCCCACCAGTTTCAGCTGCCTCCCTCCTTCCTTGCTGTAGCTGCACGCAACGAAAGAGAAAATCCTGCTTCCCTTCTTATGCTCTCGTTTCTCAACCTCAGCCCGTTTCAGAGCTACACGCGTGTGTACATGGAGGGAAGCGTGTAGTGGGGTGTCCCAGGTGCCTATTGTATTGGATCCCCTGCTGAATTTGTACGTTTGCCCACTGACAAAGAAAGGATCAGTGCTCTTCAACATCTTCATCAAGGATTTAGGACGAGGGGATAGATGGGGAACTCATCAAATTTGCAGACGACCCCAAGCTGGCAGGAATAGCCAACACTCCAGAAGACAGGCTTAGGATACAGGAGGACCTGGACAGACTTGAACACTGGGCGCTATCTAACAAAATGAAATTCAAGGGTGGAAAAAGTAAGGTTCTACATTTAGGCAAGAAAAACCAAGTGTACAGGTATAGTATAGGTGGTACCTTGCTGAATAGTAGTAACTGTGAGAGGGACCTCGGAGTCCTAGTGGACAATCATTTAAATAGGAGCCAGCCGTGTGCTGCAGCTGCCAAAAAGGCCAACACAGTGCTGGGCTGCATGAACAGAGGGATAGAATCAAGATCACGTCAAGTGTTAATACCGCTTTACAATGCCTTGGTAAGGCCACACTTGGAATACGACATCCAGTTTTGGTCACCACGATGTAAAAAAGATGCTGAGACTCTCGGGGTTGGACTAGATGACCTCCAATGTACCTTCCAACTCTATTGTTGTTCTTGTATTCAAGATGTGCGGGCCCCACCCCCAGCATGGCTGGCTGGGGAATTCTGGGAATTGAAGTCCACACATATCCCAATTAAAAAGTGTCTCTTAATTCCTGCTGAGTTGTGTAACGGAGTTACAGTTGGAACCACTGTTTCTGCTGTAGCAAGAGAATTTATAAAATATGTTGAGTTGAGCTGCTAGGCAATGATCCTCTGAAACCAATTTTGTTTTGCGTGTAACTCTTTCTGTTTAAAAAAATATGAAATTCCTTTTCTGTGTGTGGGGGATTGGAGGAGAAATTCTGATTGATCAATTAGTAGTAGTAGTAGTAGTAGTAGTAGTAGTAGTAGTAGTAGTAGTAGTAGTAGTAATAATAATAATAATAATAATAATAATAATAATAATAATAATAATAATAATAATAATAATAATAATAATAATAATAAAGTTGGAAGGGACCTTGGAGGTCATCAACCCCTTGCTCAGGCAGGAAACCCTACACCCATTTCAGACAAATGGCTGTCCAGTCTCTTCTTAAAAACCTCCAGTGATGGAGCACCCACAACTTCTGGAGGCAGGTTGTTCCACTGGTTAATTGTTCTAACTGTCAGGAAGTTTCTCCTTAATTCTAGGTTGCTTCTCTCCTTGATGAGTTTCCACCCGTTGCTTCTTGTCCTGCCTTCAGGCGCTTTGGAGAATAGCTTGACTCCCTCTTCTTTTGGGGCAGCCCCTGAGATATTGGAACACTGCTATATATTTTCATAGGTTGCCACCTTCTTTTTTTTTAGAGGGCTCATCTACGTAGCGTGTGTGTGTGTGTGTGTGTGTGTTTCTGCTTGCTTTAATGGTCTGTTGTTACCTAATCATTTATGCTCTTTCCTCCCCCCCCCCATTCCACCACCCCCATCTTCCCCTTGGCTTGAAGGATGGCAACTCGGCGTGCGATAAAAGCGGTCTTGGTGGATCTGAGTGGCACGCTTCATATAGAAGACTCCGCTGTGCCAGGAGCCCAAGAAGCTCTTAAAAAGCAAGTTATTTCCTCCAAGTTTTATTGAAGGACGGGTGGGGAAAGAGGCAATTGTACAAGTTCCATTTCTTAGCTGACAAGATGCTTTTGCAGGCAGGGGTGTCGCTTCCACCAAGGACCCCACAGTCCTCCTCCTCCTCCTCCTCCTCCCTTCTAGCACTGATTATGTTGCCTAGTTAGGTAATAAAATGTCTGCAAGAAAACCGCCAAGCTCAGAGAGCTCCAAGGACCCCACAGTCTCCCTCCTCCTCCTCCTCCTCCATCTCCTCCTCCTCCATCATTCCACAAACCCTACTTCCTTCTAGCAGTGATGACGTTATCTAGTTTGGGTCATGAAAGGTCTGCAAGAAAACATGCAAGCTCAGAGAGCACCATGGACCCCACAGTCCCCCTTCTCCTTCTCCTCCTCCTCTTCCTCCTCCTCCTCCCTTCCATTCCACTCCACAAGACCATTCCCCTCTAGAACGGATGACGTTATCTAGTTCGGGTCATGAAACGTCTGCAAGAAAACAACCCAGCACAGAGAGCACCAAGGACCCCCTCATTTCAACCCTGAGCTACGAATATTCTCCTCCTTTGGCATTTGGCACACTGCAGAGAGAAGAGAGGGGTGGCTACACAGGGAGGACAGGATGTCGGCCATGTTGGGAAAAAGGACAGGCAGAAAGTTCTTCCCGGCCCAAACAAAGGATCCTGCCACAGGTCACCCGGTTCGTTTGGCATGCCTAGTTTTTAGTACTTGTCGCGCCTCCGGGAACCAATGAATGTCGAGTACCGAGCTACCCCCCTGTAGTAAGATTCCACATACAGTAGTACCTCTGTGCTCCAAATGCCACCAGCTTCTCTGTCTCTCCCGGCTAGGTTGCGTTCTGCTCCCGTCGCCATCCGATTTGTGACAAACACAACCAAAGAGTGCAAGCAAGACTTGCTGGGCAGGCTGAAGAAACTCGAGTTTGACATTAAGGAGGACGAGATCTTCACCTCTCTGACGGCGGCCCGGAATTTGTTGGAGCAGAAAAAAGTCCGTCCTTTGCTGATGGTGGAAGAAAATGCTTTGCGCGATTTTGCAGGTATCTGTTCTGTCCCCGTCTGACACACACACCCAAACAGCCAGCCGAGGGTTAAATAACTTCTCCACACTCCAATCCACAGATAAGAAAACTTGGCAGCAGCTCCGTAGCTGCCTGCCAAGACTTTTACTCAGAGAACAAAAAACAATACACACAGTTTGAAATTCAAGCCACAGCAAACTACTTCGCCAGAGATTCAGCTTTGTCCGTCACAGAGGTCCAAATGGCCACCACCTCCCTTTTATAGCCTGTGGGGTGTGGTCCAGTGACTCAGCTTAATCTCTGGCACGCCTCCTTTTCTGCTGCGCACGCTTGTCGCTCCTACGCTGGCGTGGATCCAGCCACAACTTCTCTTCCTCACTATCCGAAACACCTGGCTCCTGGTCAATCTCTTCTCCGTCGGGAGACACCTGAGGCATTGCCAAAGAGGAGGGTCCTGGAGAGCGAGGCCTGGCCATCTCCTCTCCTTCATGTTCGGAGCCTTCTTCCTCTGATAAGAGGGGCTCACAAGACGGAGACACAACAGTATCCTGATCAAACCTTGCTTACCTAATGATAGAATGACACGTACACACACAGACAAAAGAGGCATGGACGATTTAACACCGCTGCTGTCCTATACAAGTAAGTCCTCCACTTACGACAACGGTGGAGCCCAAAACTGAGGTTGCTAAGTGAGAAATTGGTAACGTGAGCTTTGCCCCCTTGGTTAAGGGGATCCCGGAAGTTGTGTCAATTAGGCCACATGGTTGTTAAGTGAATCCGGATTTCCCCCGTTGACTTTGCTGGTCAGGGGGTCGCAAAAGGGGATCGCACGACCTCCCCCCCCGGGACGCTGCCACCGTCGTAAATGTGAGTCCGTTGCCAAGCAGCCGAGTGGAAATCACGTGACCGTAGGGGAGGGAAATGCTGTGACCGTCGTAAGTGTGAAAAACGGTCACAAGTCACCTTTTTTCAGTGTGGTTGTAACTTTGAAGGATCACTAAGAAAATTGTTGTAAGGCGAGGACTGCCTGGAATGGGAGCCAGTTTAAGGCCGCAGGCTGGTGGCCAGGAAGGGCGCTGTGAGTTCTAATCCTACCTTAAATTCGAAACCAGCTGGGCATCAGGTGCCAAGCACCCGACTTTTGATCACATGACCAGGATGCTGTGTGAAAACCGGTCCTAAGTCACTGTTTCCAGTGCCATAACTTTGAACAGTCACTAAACGAACAGTTGTTGGATTAGATTAGATTAGATTAGATTACCTTTATTGTCATTTTTTCCTGTGAGCACAACGGCACCCATTAAAAATGAAATTTAGTTGCCCGCTCTCACAGTGAACACATACATGACACACACCTAAACATACTATATACCAATGGTGGCGAACCTATGGCACGGGTGCCAGAAGCGGCACTCAGAGCCCTCTCTGTGGGCACGCATGTCGTAATCCCAGTCCTAGGTCTTCAGCTGGGTTTTATAAAACTTTTTCGCTTTAGGCCTCTGCCACCATGTGCAAAAAAAAAAAAAAGGTTCAGTCAGTCAATTTCAACTTCTTGTGGGGAAAGAAAGATCTTGCAAAGTTGGAATTGATTGTTTGAACTTTTTAGTCCCACCCAGTCTGCCGTTACCATCGCAGCCACGCCCACCCAATGGGCTAAGCCCACCCAGCACCCAACTATATGGAAGTGGGTTTTGGGTTGCAGTTTGGGCACTCGGTCTCTAAAAGGTTCGCCATCACTGTTATATACAACATATACATACTATATACAACGTATGTATAGACCTACACCCCTACATATACATAACATATGAATATTAAACACTGTCCATCTTGAATACATAATAGAAGGAGGAAGCTTGAGAGTTCACAAGGTTTATACTGTGTGGAACGAAACTGTAGCTGAATCTGGATGTTCTGCTTCCGATATCACGGAGCCCCCCCCCTCCCAGAAGGTAACAAGGAAAACAGGTCATGAAGAGGGTGTGTAGCATCCAAGACAATCTTGTGGACCCTGCTCAAGCAGCGCTTATGTGCCATGTCCTGGATGGGAGGGAGGGAACTGCCAATGATCTTTTCTGCCGTCCTCACCACTCTCTGCACCACCTTCCTGTCTGAAGCAGGGATGCTTCCAAACCAGACTGTGATGCCGTATGACAGGATGCTCTCAATCGTCCCTCTGTAGAAAGTGGTGAGGACAGGGGAAGGAAGATGTGTTTTTCTCATGTGACACAGAAAATGCAGGCGCCACTGTGCCTGCTTCACCAGTGTCTCTATTGAGCGACCAAGCCAGCTTACTTGTTAACTCCACACCCAGGAATTTGATACTGGTAACCATCTCCAGTATCCAGGAGTTGAGGTCTCCTTGTGTTTCAGTGCTGAGACGATTGTTGTGCTCTAGGGAAAACTTAAAATAAGCTTTTTTCTGGCTGCTGCTTTGTTGCCTGCCTGGTGGATTTCAATTTCACACCAGATTTACGTATCTTGCTAAGTCTTCCAGCTTTGGCATATGTTGACAAACTAACTGCCTCCCGTTCCATCTGGCCCCAATCAGTGGATGACACCGAAGCATCTTAATGTAAGGGAGATTTTAAAAGTTTGCTCGTAAATCAGATTGTTCCCCATCTTTAGATCAATTCTGTGTCAAATCCCATTTGGGTCATGACTCTCCCCTTCTCTTCACCTAAAATGCTTTCTATGCATATCTTCGGCGTCCGGTAGTTTTAAGTACGATGAAAGATGTTTAAGCCCCTGTTAGTAACTACTATGGAATTATTCTTGGATAATCTTCGTTTAAGATAGCTTGCAGCCAGATGAGCGTAATCCATCCTTTGCTTAATGGACCCAGATGCTGCCAGGGAGTGTTGCAAAGTAAGTCAAGTAAATGCATAAAATCCACACGGGAATATTTCCGAATGATGCACTTTCGTTTTTGCATTTCATAAGGACACCTTTCAGATTCCTATTCTATTCTGTTCTATTCTGTTCTGTTCTATTCTGTTCTATTCTGTTCTGTTCTGTTCTATTCGTTTTTGCATTTCATAAGGACACCTTTCAGATTCCTATTCTATTCTGTTCTATTCTATTCTGTTCTATTCGTTCTGTTCTATTCTGTTCTGTTCTATTCTATTCTGTTCTATTCTGTTCTGTTCTGTTCTATTTTCTATATTCTATTCTATATTCTATTCTATATTTCTATTCTATATTTCTATTCTATATTTCTATTCTATATTTCTATTCTATTCTATATTCTATTCTATATTTCTATTCTATTCTATATTTCTATTCTATTCTATATTTCTATTCTATTCTATTCTATTCTATGTTATTCTATATTTCTAGTCTATTCTAGTCTATTCTATTCTATATTTCTATTCTATATTTCTATTCTAATCTATTCTATATTTCTATTCTAATCTATTCTATTCTAATCTATTCTATTCTATATTTCTATTCTATATTTCTAGTCTATTCCATATTTCTGTTCTATATTTCTATTCTATGCTATGCTATTCTATTCTATATTTCTATTCTATATTTCTAGTCTATTCTATAATTCTATTCTATATTTCTATTCTAATCTATTCTATTCTAGTCTATTCTATATTTTTATTCTATATTTCTAGTCTATTCTATATTTCTGTTCTATATTTCTATTCTATGTTATTCTATTCTATATTTCTAGTCTATTCTATATTTCTAGTCTATTCTACTATTCATTCTATTCTATTATTTCTTCATGGAAAACAGGATGGGGCTTAACTTTTCTATCTGTGTTGGTTGTGAGTCGGACACCCCAAAACCATTTCATTAACCTCACGGTGTGAATTGTGGCAGAGGCCTTAAGTGTCGCATATTAATCCAGATCCGAAAAGGAGATGAGGAAGGCAGAGAATTTTCTTCAAAGTTAGGAAGTTACAGCCACGAGACGGCCAGTGAGAAAGATACCGGCAGCCATGTCCTGCTACATCTGAGTATAAATAGGATTCTTGCGTGATGACTTCCTTGGTGAATAGGATTTACTTGCAGACTTCCATTTAAAAAAGATAAGAAAAGGGTCTTTTAGGGCGGGCCAAGCCCCATTTTCATGTCAAAACGACTACCCAGATACCCCTGGAGTGTCCACAAGCAGAAGGTGTATGAATTATCCCAAATTCTGATTGGGTGTTTATGCTGAATCTCATCCATCTTCCTTACCTCACGTCCACCATCCCCGTTCTGTAGCAATTCTTTTCTGGAAATCTTTAACGCCTTTCTTGTTTAACTTTTACATAATAATTTAGTTCACCAGTTAGATAACGGTTTCTCATTATTATGGTTTACTCCAGCTGAGTCCAGTGCTGGGAACATCCAGCTGGACTAGAACTCACGGTCTCCAGGTAGTTGGACTAAAGTCGCCCAGCTAGCTATCGTGTCTAAGGTGGGACTAGAACTCACAATCTCCGGGTGATTCAGCA